TCCAGGGTGTCCAAACATTTTTTTTTCTTTTTGGGTCACACCCAGCAATACACAGGGGTTACTCCTGGTTCTGTACTCAGGAATTGCTCCTGGCGGTGCTCAGGGTACCATATGGGGTGCTGGGAATCAAACTCAGGTCAGCTGCATGCAAGGCAAACACCCTACCCACTGTGCTATCGCTCCAGCACTGGTGTCCAAAAATTTTTAATGGAGTGACACAGCTAGAGTTAAATTTTTAACCAGGTGACAGCTTTGGGGTTGTGCATGACTGCTGGGTCTTCCAGAAGTACAGGAAGATGGAGGGTGGGGGAGGTATCCCATCCCCAACTCCATGAAAGCCTGGAGATTTCAGCCACAAAACCCGCATACCTGAATTTTTTAACAATAATTTCTGGATGAATCTTGTCTGAGCAGTGGATTCTGGCCGGGAGCATGGAGGTGATTGTGCAGTATAGATGTTTTCGGCTGCCAGAGCTCTGTTTGGATAGGTGCTCAGCTTACTTGCCCCACTCCGGGGTGTCCTGGATGACTCTGTCTTGTACAAGGATAACATCACTTTTCATCAGGGAAATACAAATCAATGCAACAGTAAGATATTACCTTACATCAGGGAAGATATTACCTTACATTTTTTTGAGGGCTGAGCTCTAAGGATGCCTCAAAGAATGAGGTAAAGGGCATATAGCCTAATAAAAAGAAGGGAAGCAGAACCCATCAGTATATAATAAACATTTTGCACTGATTGTGTTTTAAAGATGCTAATTAATTTTATCATCAATGCTCTGAAGAGATCTACCACTTCTCAAATGAGAAAATTGAAATGGAGGGAAATAAAAGTAAGTAATTTCAAAACTCAGCTTGATCTGACCCTCAAATTCAAATTGACCCGACCCTTTTTGATTTATGATTCTCTATCTTCTTTTGATTTGTGAAATATAGCCTTTACATCTTGTTCACATATATTCTTATTCTCTAATGCCTTCCTGACATGTATTTTATGAAAAATTTATAAGGAAAAATAATTAGCACTGACTTATTTTAAAAAGGCCCTTCTGTTGATCGTCGATTTGCTCGAGCGGGCCCAGTAACGTCTCCATTGGAGACTTTGTTGTTACTGTGTCTGGCATATCGAATACTCTCGGTAGCTTGCGGGGCTCTCCGACTTATTTTAAAGTTGTTGCTTGTTTTTTTATTCCCCTCTCCTGTCTTTTCATTTGTTGTTGCTGATGTTATTGCAGTGAATGTGAATTTCACACATACCTGGCTGTGGTGCTGGCACATTTTTTAGCTGTGGTGCTTGCCAGGGGTCTGATATCAGGTTGTGATACTTACACAGTAGGCCACGGTGCTCCCTGAAGTTTGCATTCCTTGAGTTGTGGTATTCATACATGTGCTCCCTCAGGCCACACTCTTAGCTGAGATACTAAAATTATGGCTGTGGTCCTCACCAAAGATGCTCACCCTTATTGGCTGTGGCACTTACTATGCACTTATTATGCAGCTTTGGTGCATCAATACAGGATGCTCTGCTTTTTGTTGTGCTTATGCACACTTGGTTACAGAAATTGTACTTAGTGCCAGGGATCAAAGACAGAGTTGCCAGACTTGAGATCAGCTCATGTAGAGCACCATATACTTAAACTCTTATCCATGTATGTGCTTACAGTGAAGGCATTTTAAATTACTCCACTGTACTCCAGACCTTTTAGTACATTCCAAGAATAGCTAGCATAAATGTGTGTGCGTGTATGTACATATCTATCTATATGTGTGAGTGTATATATACACACATATATATGAATATATATATATATATATATATGAATATTGAGTAACTTGGGGATATAGAGTAGACTCCTGGAGGTATTCAGGGAACCATATGGATTCCTGGGAATTGTACATGGTGTGGCTATATACAAGGCAAGAGCCTTACCTGCTTTATTACCTCTCTGGTCACTAAAATAGTAATTTCTTTGGTCTTCCAAGTGGTACTCAGGAGGTCTGTGAGTAATTCTGGGGATTCTCGGTTAACCAGGCTTGTGGTTCACTATGGGGGTCTGAGGATGTGGTGCCGTGGTGCTGCTCAGACCCTGTGTGCAGCATTCCTGGTGTGACTCAGGGTCTCCAGGGTCATACCTGGTGGTATTCAGGAAATCATGTGGTGCCAGGGATTGAACTGGACTCTATCAATCGCAAGACATGCACCCAACCAAACTCTGGTACTATCTCTTAGGTCATGAAATAAATAATTTTGAACTACTTGGTGTGTGCGTTGAAAAATACATGTAATTCTCCGTTTATTACTATTAAAAGTAAAGTAAAGTAAAGGCCCTCCCGTTGATCATTGATTTGCTCGAGCGGGCCCAGTAACGTCTCCATTGGAGACTTTGTTGTTACTGTGTTTGGCATATTGAATACGTCACGTCACGGGGAGCTTGCCAGGCCCTGCCTTGCGGGCGAGATACTCTCGGTGGCTTGCTGGACTCTCCGAGAGGGGCGGAGGAATCGAACTCGGGTCAGCCATGTTGGCTGTGTGCAAGGCAAACGCCCTACTGCTGTGCTATCGCTCCAGCCCTTATCAAATGCTAATGATACCTAACATTTGATATACTCTATTTATAAAAAGTTTCACGTGGAAACTCAAATCTTATCCATTTAATTATAAGGAGGAAAGTATTTGAAAACATTTTATGAAATAAAAACATTTGAGAAGTCAATTTAGGAAGCCAATTTCCTAGACTTAATCTCATTGTTGCAACATCTTAGTTCATGTGAACTTGGGCAAGTTACTACAGCCAGTTCCTTTATATTTTATTATCAATAACATAAACCCACCCCCCAAATTTTTGTAAAATTTTTGTTGCGGTTTGCAGCATAATCACTTGAGTTCACATGTTATCATTATTTGGCTGTTCTAAAATATTGGAACTACTGCACTAAAAGGTTATAATATCTCATTAATTGATCTATCTATCTACTGGTTAATACATTCATTCATTCAACAAATACTTTATTATCTGTATAAACTTTATGAACTGCCTACTCCATCAACACTGTGGGATCTGGAATAAATATGCAATATTGGGGTGCTGGAGTCACACTACAGCAGGTAGAGCATTTGCCTTGCACACAGTCTACCAGGGTTCCATTCCTGGCATCCCATATGGTCCCCTAAGCACACCAAGAGTGATCCTGAGTTTAGAACCAGAAGTCAGCCCTGAGCACAGGCGGGTGTGGCCTCCAAACAAAAACAAAACAAACAAAAGATGGATATTAGTCCTTCCAGCAATTTAGGAAAAGACACTAATTTGTTGGAAAATGAAAAAGAAAAAGTCATTTCTTCTCAAATTTCTTCTTACTGATGGGGATTCTGTTTTGAGAAAGGTTTCAGGCTCCGTGGGGAAAAAAGTCTGATCTACTGTCTATATATGAACTATGAACATAAGGCATGGAGCTTAGGTTTAGAGGCTCCTAATCAACAAAATATTTTCTAAAATGGGAAGAAACTTCTGTTTGTTTGTATTTTGCTTCCTACCTCTAAAAGCGCTGTGAAAACAAATATCCCATAAATTTATTTATTTATTTTGGTTTGGCTGACACACCCTGCTGAACTCCAGGCTTGTTCCTGGCTCCCAGCTGAGAATTGCCCTTGGCTTTGCAAAGGTTCTGAACCAAATGTGTGCTGGATTCAAACTGGGGTCAGCTCTAAGCAAAGCAAGAGCCTCCCCTGGTCCCCTGGACAATCTCTCTAGCCCAAATGGCCCCCTTTTTGATGAATGTGAAGAAAGTAGCCCAGGCAATCATTTCTTGAGATTCTCTCATGCACTTGGTGCTTTTAATCTCTTGAGATGTTTCACAGATCCCGTTTCGCAGATGCAGAATCAGATTTGGAGACATAAATAGCATGAGCCAGATGACCCCTCTTCCCTTTCTGCTCCCTCCTAGAGCGTTAGTGATCTTAGGTAAAGCATGTCCAGAGTGAGAGAGACAATATGCTAGCTAGCATATTTGCTTTTCTTTGCAATGGGCTAAAAGACCGCCGCCTCTCCACTGATGCGAAGTCTTAAAACTTCTCTCCCAACCTTTCTTACTTTTTCCCGGTTGGTTAACCTGCCTCCGCGCCAGACTCGTGGACTCCACCTCTCCAATAAAATCCTCGGGAAATAACAGGCATTCCGCCCACAATAACCAGACCGAGCGTTCACACAAGCCGAGAGCGGTATCTGTACATTTGATCAGAATTGGCAGGGAGAAAAGGATGTGGGAGTGAGGTCAGACTGGTGGTTGTGGCTTTGAGCGCGAGGAAGGAAAGCGTCCCGCGAAGGAAATCAAGTTTATTGTAAGGTAACTAAGGCAGCAGGCCTTTCCATTTGGTCACATTTTCACATGTTCTTCCTTTCTCCCCCCGATCGCACACTGTAGCCCTCTTTTTTTATTATTATTATTTTTTTTCCGCCTCAGCCTGAGTTTCCTAAAGTTCTCTCACTTCTGGCTGGGGGCAGGAAACATTCCAAGCCAGAGGGTCGGGAATGGGATAAGCCCGCCCTTTTGAAGAAGGCGGGTGGGGGTGGGAGGTGGGGCAGAGGAAAAGGAAAAGAAGCACTGTAAGGAAAAAAAAAAAAGAAAACAAACTTAACTGGAGTAGCGAGCCTGAGCCCGAAGGATCACTGGTGGTTTCCAGTTTCCTAGACTCAGCGAACCACCCCGACTCCCGGTTTCCCCCCACCCCGCCTCTGCGCCCTGGGCGGGGGAGTTTGGAGTTGTATGCTAATGAGAGTTCAGGGGCGGGAAGTTTGGAGATATATGCTAATGAGGTCCCAGGGGGCGGGGTTTTTGTAGATTTATGCTAATAATGACCCGGCCGGGTGCGAGTGGATTATGCTAATGAGCCCGGGGCGGGGCTTGCTCCGCGGGCGCCCCTGACAGCGGCGAGAGCGCGCGGGGCGCTGGGCTGGCCATGCCTTCCCTCCGGTGACGGCTCGGCTGCGCTGGTCCATGCTGGTCGCCGCCTTTGTTCCCGGGCCCCCGCGGAGACATGCGCGGCTGACTATGGAAGTGGAGGACTCGGGCGGCGTGGTGCTCACCGCCTACCACTCGTACGCACGCTCGCAGCCGCCCAGCCCCGAGCCGCGCTGCGCGCCCCGGGCCAGCGCCAGCCACCCCGGCAGCAGGTACGAGAGTGGCCCTGGAGCGGGCGGCGGGTCCCCGGGGCTTTCCTCCGGCAGTTGCGTTTCCTGCCCTGGGCAGAAGACCACCGCCTCTGGGTTGTTATTCCAAGTGTTGGTGGACTCGCTGAGGCTCCCAAGCCTACTGTTCTTTGTATTGTCTTTGATGGAAAATGGGAAGTGCACAAGTCTCAGTCCGGAAAGGACTGAGCCTCTCAGTCAGTGGCTCACCAAGGTTAGCCGGCGGTGGAGTTGTGGTTCTTGATACAACTTGATGATGAGGAAGAGTAGAGCCTCATTTCTGCCGGATTCACCAGTTACAATAATTTAGTTATTAAGTATTTTCTAGGAGGTACAAGCAGAGAATGAAAAGATTAAAGTGCATCATCCTAAATCCTTGAATACTGTTAAGCTTTTCTTTAATCGCTTGCCTCCTGAGCTAAACGAAAACACACGATTATCTACAAAATAAATCTTAATAGACTTTTTTCTGTGGTTTTTAAAAGTTCTAATTGTAGAAATGCATTGGTATCATTCTTTTGTTGTTAATCTTTATACTGTAACGGCAATTATCATATTTTGGGGGTGAAAAGTGGTTTATTACTACTTTTGTAGTTCTAGTATGTGCTTTTTAGAGTTAATGAATCAGGGGTTGATATTAATGTTCATCTACTTGACCCAAGATCAAACGCCAATGACACTTTCATTGATTTACCAAAAGTGTTTGACTCAGGAATTTTTCATAAGTAAATAAAAATAGTACCATGATAAGTAGATGATTTGTTATCTGACACATTTAGGGAAGGTTTAATTGTTTAAATGGTGGCTATTTATTTTTTGTGGATCTACTGATGCATGATTTTCTTTAAAAGTGGGAGGTTTGAGTGATGTGCTTTATGGTTTTTGCATCATTTATTTTTAGTCGTTTTCCTCTCTTTCATCTTTAATTATGTGATAATGATTATTTTTGTTCCTAATTTAATTGATTTGTTAGGCTTCCAAGAAATTATGACTTTTATTTCAAGGAATATCCTTTTGGACGCTATCTGTGAGAACAAGCTGTATTGGCACGAAATCTTTATTATATTAGACTTGGCTAACAAAGAAAATATTGTTTCTTCCAAATAGAGCAGGTTGAACAAAATCTACCTTCTCTGCAAAGATAATGAAAAAATAACATTTTTCCCCCACCAGCATTAGTAGTTGTGCACATTATTTTAAAGACTACTTTAAAATAAAGATACAAACTTTCATGGTCTTTAGGACAGTTTCCAAAGCATGAACTGTAATTACTTAGATTATGAGTAACTTAAGTTAATTTGTGATTTGATGAGAAACAGGGCCCCGGTCTATGCAATTTTAGATGGTCCCGCTGACACTGTCCTGTCTGTAACTCCCAGCAGCTGTCTAGAGCAGTAGCCAGATTGTGCCATTTGGGCTCACTGAAACTGCATCCGTTTCCAAAGCAAACTGGAGGGAGAAGTTCCATTAACTCAGCATGTGGTCTTCTGGAAGGATAATATATGAGAGCCAGAGCTTTGTGTCATAGCTAGGATTCTACCATACAATGGTCAAGGAGATTTATGTTGCTTCAAGTTTGCTTTTTTGGTGACTGCCATCCTGCACCCTCTCTATAAGAACTTTTGTGACATAAGTTTCCCTCTGATGTAGGAGATAAATGACCTCTGCTCCCTGCAACTAAATCACTAGAGAATAGCTTAATTCCTTAGTTCCCAGTAACAGTAATCAGAAAGAGAGGGTCCTGTATTTACTAGAAGTCAGAGGACATCATCAATCATGCCTCAGATAACAGAAATAATCAGGCCCAAGTTATTAACCTTTGACTCACTAACTAGGATCAATACCTCCTTTCAAGCCAAGGAGCAAGATCATATTGTTCTACTTATGAAGAAAGCACTCTCCAGAAGAGCACCCTTCCTTCCAATTGCTTACATATGCTTACCGTATTTGCAGAGTAGTGACTCTATGGTTCTAGGAGGCAGGGACTGTTAAATATCGACTTGAATCATCATTCTTTATCTCTTGGTGACATAGGTACGATTCAAAGCAAACCACCTCCATACTTGTCAAGCATCTGTTCAGACTTTATTTTAAGTATTTTTAAACCTACCTGTTTGTCGCAAGATAAAAATGGCAGTATACCTATTAGTAAAAGTCAGCCAGTTTGTACCTATTATGTGCTGTCAATATATTGGGCGCTTGGGACACAAAATAAATAAATAAATAAAGAGAGTGGTGAAGCGAGTCTTCATCTTGAGTATGTGGCTCTTAGCCCTTTAGAACCATAGGGGTTTTGCTTGATTTTGTGAAAAAGAAAACAAAACAAAACGAAACAAAACAACAACAAAAGCGCTTGTGTGTGTGCTTGTGCTTTGTTGCTGTTGTTTTGGGACCACACCTGTCTATGGTCCTGGCTTACTCCTGGCTCTGTGCTAAAAGATGATTCCTGACGGTACTGGAGGACTGAATTTGGAGCCTGCTGTGGAATGAGGTCAGCCAAGCCAAGGCAAGCACCTTAGCCCCTGTCCTATGTGTTGGGGCCCCAAACCCTTATGGGTTTAAAGAAGCTCTTTAAGTTGAGTCATAAATCAAAATCAGTTGGCTTCAGATATAAAACTGACCTTCCAGCTTCCCACAAAAAAAACAGACCAAAGTATTCTGCAACCTAGCCTTCCTCTGGTGTCTGCTCCACTGGAGAGACTGAGGAATGGAGAAACGGCTGCCCATAATACCTTTCCTCGGCACTCTTCAGCCCTGAAGCGAGCATCAAGCACAGTTCCCTTTTGGACTTGCTCCTTTAATTTAAGCTACCAGTGTAAAGTGTGGTTCCAAGGGGAAGGGTCACAGTGCCAGACTTGGAGCCACCCCTACATTTTCTTTTTCTCTCTCTTTTTAAAAATTTTTATTAGTGAAACACCATGAGGTACAGTTGTAGACTTACAAATTTTTGTGCTTGGGTTTCAATTATACAATGATCTAGTACCCATCCCTCCACCAGTGCCCATTCTCCACCACCGCTGATCCCAGTATCCCTCCCACCCCCATCCCCCCACTACCTCTTGGCCTCAGGCAATGTTCAGCACCTCAGAAGCACTCAGTGCAGCTTAGCTGTGTTCTTACTGTCCTCACTTTTAATCACAGTTGTTCACAGAAAGAGAGTGAAATCTTTCAGGAACTTACTCTCAGAGCTAATTCATGCTGGAGACTCAGAAGTAATGATTATTTGTTGGGAGGAGTGAAATTCCTGATTTCACAAACATTCTGTGTTTACATTCTGTTGTGAAGGTTCAAAGAGAAGGAAACATTGTAAATCCTCAACTCTGTTCTTATAATCCTTTCTTGAAGTTGTCTTTAGAATCCTTTGATTCAAAAATTCCATACTAAGGTAACTTTTAGATAGGCCAAGCTTTTGCACCCTTTGGCAGAATCCAGAGTGAAGATGTTGGTATCAGACAAAAATATTTTACCTGTTGTAAATGTAAGGTAGTGAGGATAAAACTGGATATAAAAAAACTTGGTTTTCAAGTATTTTCTAAGCTAAATACAAGTAAGATATAAGACATTTTTTCCTTGAAAATATGGTGCAGAATTACCATGAGTCTTTCTGATGTTTATCTTATACCATAAACTTCCTTACAGGGGACAGAAATAGAAAAGGAAAAGAATCAACTCTTCCTTAGAAACAAATATAGACGCTTACCAAGGTTATCTTAGGAATTCTAATTCCACAGGAATGTTAAAAATCATTTAAAAGGAAGATTGTTTCTAAAATTATTTGATTAAAATAAATTAATGATGATAAGAAGTAAATAGATTTTCTGTAAAAGACTAAATGTAGGAACTTTCAGTGACTTTATTGGTGCATTTCTGGATTAGAATTAATTAAAAGGACATTTTTTATTTCCAAGTTCTAACTCTTATTTAAGCAGTTATGCAGGTCTTTGTGAGCTTATGGTTATGTATACAGGTGCTCTAGATTATAGGGCATAGAAGTTTAGAATTGGTAGTAGAAATGATATTAGTAATAGTGTGTAAGATATTTATAGGTCATTCTTTATGTTGTCTTGGAAGCTACAGTTAATGTCTGTAACTGTAGCTGTCTCCTTCACACTACAGCTCCTGACAGGGTGTGGGTACCCCTTATGCAGTCCTATAGGGAAACATCTGGCTTATTTCTTTTGATCCTGTCATGTGACTAAACATTTGGCCTTTGCCTGCTCATTTTTAAGTTGCTCACTTCTCACCTATCATGAACTCTTAATGTATCCACGAATATCCTTGGGAGTTAGGGTATGTGAATTATTTTCTTATGAATGAAGGTAACTTTTAACATTTTTATGGATACAGTTTAGACGGAATACTTTGCAAGAGTAGTTCCAAGTGTTCTGAGTAATCTTTACCCAGCTTCCTCTAATGTTAACATTTTTTTAAAAAAATAACTGCTATTCCATTGTGAAAGCTGAAAAATTAACACTGGTGTCAATACTATTAAGGAAGCTGCTGTAGACTAGTCCGGAGTTTGCTGTGTTTCCACTAGACTTAAAGTCTTTCTGCTGTAGAATTGAATTTAAGATGTCATATTAAATTTGGCCATGCCCCCTACTTCCTGTATGTAATCTGTGATAGACCGAAACTTCTCTGTTTATATATATATATATATACACATTTATATATATAAATATATATAAACCTATATATTTATATATATTTATATATTATATATATATATTTTTAATGTTTGGGTCATACCCAGGGATGCTCGGGTTACTACTCCTGGCTCTGCACTCAGGAATCGACGCCCTACCCACTGGGCTATCGCTCCAGCCCCACTCTGTTTATATTCTTGACACTTGTGGGATACTAGTTGGTTGTTTGGTAGGAAGTTTCTTGGTTTGGAGTTGTATGATGTCTTCCATGATCAAATTGAAGCTTGCATTTTTGGTGAAAATTTTGCAGAATCATGTCATGTCCTTTTCAGTACCTCA